CTCCACTTTTAAGTCTCTCATCTAGCAGCTCATTTGCAATAAGAGCTGCATCAGTTATCTGTCTATCTTTTAGGAATGCATTCTGTTCCCCTGAGATTAGCTTCCCCATCACTGTCTTCATTCTTTATGCCAGAAGTTTAGCCACTATCTTATACACACTTCCAATAAGGCTTATTGGTCTAAAGTCCTTGAGCTCTACTGCACCTTTTTTCTTCGGGACAAGTGCAATGAAGGAGGCATTGCTAGACTTTACCATATGACAGTTATGGTGGAAATGGTTGATTGCTGCCATAATGTCCGGCTTGATAAAGTTTCAAGTTTTTTGGTAAAAAGCCATTGTGTAGCCATCAGGCCCTGGGGCTTTATCTGGTGCACAAGAATTGATGGCTGCCATCATTTCTTCTTCTTCAAAGGCTCTTTCCAGCCACACTTCTTCATCCATCGAGATCCTAGCTAAGTTTTCAAAGTTGACACTAGGCCTCCATTGCTCACTTTCTGAATAGAGCCCTTGATAAAAGCTTAGGATTTCAGCTTTGATAGATTCTTGGTCCTTCAGTGATTTCCTCCCCTATCTTCAATCTGTCAATGTAATTGTTCCTTCTGTGGGAGTTAGCCATTTTCTGAAAGAACTTAGTGTTCCTTTCACCTTCTTTAAGCCATAAACATCTTGATTTTTGTCTCCATGAAACCTCCTCAACCTTTGCTATTTGCTGTAATTCCAGTCTTATCTGCATTAGTTTCTCCTTTTCAACTTGTGTTTGGGTCCTGTTCTCTGTTGTTTGCTCCAGCATTGCTAACTCCTCCAGTAGTTTAGTCTTTTGTGTATAGGTTAACTATATACCCCTAACTTGTTGAAGGTGATAGTTCTCTTCCTGGTTATGACCTCATTGAACCTAAATCAGTTTCTTAACCAATTAAAGTGGATTCATAATGTGAAGAAGGAGCAAGTTTGAAGAGTCCTTGCGGCAGTCCTTATTTAGATCGGCCTTCCCCAAGGAATCTCTTTGCTTGACATGCAAAGAACTGTAATATTCCTTCTCTAAGCTGTGAACTGGCCTTCATAGCAATCCATAATTATCATTCCTTCCACCCTTTCCTACCCTGCAAAATTAGCCATGCCGTTCTTGTCTAACTCTTGCTTATTGAAGTGAATTGCTTTTTCCTTCATGTTCAATTCTTCCTTGGGTGGGAGGTTTGTTCAAATTTTAAAGATTTTAGATTTTACCGAGGGTTTTTCTGACCCCCCTCCAACCTTTGTCTTGAGTATTTGCAGTTGCCCCGTGAGCTGAGAGGCAACATGCGGAGCAACTTTGGAGGTATTCCTTATTGGAAACTTGATATTGCACACTGCTCAAAGTTGCTCTTTCAGTGCTTAATTTGTTGGGGTTGTGGTCTTGATAATTTTTTTTTTAAAAAGAATTGTTGGGTTTGTGGTGTGGGTTCAAAACGCAGACCACATACAATCAAGGACTGATGCTTAGATGAAGATCAAAGCTAGAGACTGTATTGCATTAATGCTATCCTCTTGTATTGGGGTTCCCCCCACATCTCATCCATTTGATACTTGACTTTGAGTATTATCTTTTGATTTACTGTTGGTGTATTGGATAAAGACATACTTTATTGTTGTGGTTTCAGGCGTTGGGTTCAAGCTGTATTTCGTGTCGGTAGTGGGAAATCTGGAGGGAAAACTGAAAGCAAGGTGAGATTCCTTGGTAAGGATAATGACAAGCCTGAAATACAAAAAGTTTCCCTTGAACACTCTGCAAATGAGACTGAAGTTGATATCTCCGACGGGATGGCTCTTGAAATGTTTGGTATTTCATCTCCCAAGGAGGAGGTACAGAATTTTCATTCACTTCTAGTGTTAATTCCTCTTGCTGTTATGAAGATACAGAAATTGCGAGGATAATAATAGAGTAAGTAGTTCCAGAAGGGAACATGGCTAGAATTTGTGCTTATGCATTAGCACTGACATTATGGTTAAGCAATCATGGCCTATGTATACATGTAATGCTCATGCATTGATCCAGGGGTGGCAAGTGACCCTTCTTATAATTCAAATAAACTAAATGTTCTTGCTGTATCTCATCATTTGCTTCTGGTATCTGATCCGAGTTTATAGATACAGGTTCCTGATTAAATAGTAATATCAGTATTTCAAACATTGATACTTTTAGTCTAGGATAGCTGTTGTCAGTTTTGCCTCCATAATGGGTAGCATATTCTAATATGAACCAGGTGGTTAGTCATGATTGCTTCAGAATTATGAAGTTGGGGTCACTTGGATCCCCGTAAAAGCTTGTATAAAGTGATTCCTAAATGTTTCAACGTTTTATCCGCCAGTTACCGACTTACATGCTTATTCGTCAACATTCTAGATTCTTGATGTCATCTCCAGAGACTATTCTTTCAAGATAAATGTCCTCTCAAAAGAGTATCAGCATACCTGCAAATCAACTGGCTTAATGTTATGGGAATCAGCTCGGCTTATGGCTTCTGTCCTTGCTACTAACCAGACCATTGTTTCAGGCAAAAGTGTTTTAGAGCTGGGTTGTGGATGTGGGGGCATTTGCTCCATGGTTGCTGCTAGATCTGCTAATCTTGTGGTTGCCACTGATGGAGACACAAAAGCACTTGATCTATTAAACCAGAATGTCGCTCTGAATCTCCAACCATCAACTCGTGCAAGTCTAATAACAAAAAAGCTTGAGTGGGGAAATAGAGATGATGTAGAGGCTATCAAAAGGCTAAATGATAGAGGTTTCGATGTCATAATAGGCACAGATGTCACGTATGTTGCTGATGCAATCTCTCCTTTGTTTGCAACTGCAAAAGAGCTGATCCGATCTGGCAGAGGCGATAAGGAGGATTGCACACCAGCTCTAATCCTTTGTCACGTCTTTCGCAGAGTTGATGAACCATCTATACTTTCAGCAGCGTCAGAATTTGGTTTCAGGTTGGTGGATAGGTGGCCGCTTACCCCCACTAGCACACCTCAGAACATTATCCAAAGCTGGTTCTCCCAGGGCAACCTTGAAGCTTGTGTTCCCACCACTGCACTGAATATTCTGTATTTCCACAAGTTTTAGGTTTAAATCTTGGAGGAATTTTATTTTCTGCATCCAGGGAAAGGGGAAATGTACCAGAAGGCTGCTCAAGAGTTCTTCGGTCCTGGTTCTTGGCGCTGCCCAGTATTTAACCCTTCAAGGCTTCGAGCATTGAATCTGTGCTTGTGTTAGCGCGTTCCTTATCAGCAAATTGATTTGCATGTAGCTAAATATGCTATTGTTATCGTTAGGAAGTTGAAGCTGTTCTTATGGGAAAGGTAGTGATACCATTCTCTCTTGGATGCATTCTTTCCCTTTGTTGTCTTGATTGTTTACCAAGATTCAGGAAGTTTTTTAGTTGCCCAAACTGAACCATGTTTACTTAATATTGTTGTGTTATAGTGAAACCCTTATATCTCTTGAATGCTTGCTATCCCTTGCTGTCTTAGTTACCAAGATTCAGGAACCTTTTCATTGACCAAATTGACCATATACTTCATATTGGTTTGTTATGATGCTGAAATATGGTGTATGCAACTTTTTTATAGGGATCAAGAGCGCTTTATTTATTTATTTATTTTTGTTGTTGTGGTTTTTCCTACTTATATCTAAGAGTGGTAAGTAATCTAATCGGGACGTGGCAAACTGTCTTTTTTAGAATATTTTCCATGAATAAATGCAGAGGTTCTGGCTCACAGGAAATGACATTGTGAGATTGAGATCAAAGGACGTCATGAATGAAGACGAGAAAGTTTTACCTCAAAGAATATATCCCATAGAAGTCTATAGGCATCAGTGTTTGGCGCATTACTTGAAAAGAAAAAGTATCTACCACAAAACTAGTTGTTTTATTATTTTTTAAATGGCCGAGGCAGTCAAATGGATTGTGAGAATTTGAATAATATTTAATTAGTTTGAGATTGAGGCGTAATTGTTTAGTATGAGAAGAAGAGATGAATCAATAAGAAAATTCGACTCGCAAAGTAGTTTAAGACGTGAAAAATTGAAATGGCCAAAACGCTTTCGAGGGTAAAAATTGCACGGGGCGCCCTATTTGGTCGCCCTCATTTAACCTATACCCATTTTTTTAAAAAGTTTTAACTTGTACCCACTTTTTAAACAACTTCAGCCCCCTTTTTCTTTTTCCTTCTCCTCCAAACGAATTTCTCTTTCCGGTACGAAACGAATCTCTCTTTCCCTCTGCTTCTTTGATTCCAAGTATTTTTCCCACTTATTCTCCTCCCCTTTTGATGGTAAAAGTGATTTTACCCTCATCTCCTCGAACGAATAGTGTTCTCTTTCCCATAAATTCTTATCTAAAAGAAGTTCTTCTTCTGATTTGGGATAATTGATTTGTATTTGCTTCTTTTGGGACTCAGTTAAATTTACTAGACAACGTGCTCTTAGGCTGATGCTTTCTGAATTGTTTCCAAGGAATACTTCTATCATATGTTCTGCCCTTTTTTCCTCTTTCAAACAACTAATTTTCTTCTCTGGATCCGGCGTTTCTGCCATTTTGATAATTCGACGCAGCTGAAGTTCTTTAGCGAAGTTCGCCAGTTACAAAACAAAAACTTCAGATTTAGAGCTGAAGTTCGCCAGTTACAAAACAAAAACTTCAGCTCTAGAGCTGAAGTTCGCCAGTTACAAGAGAATTCGCCAGTTACAAAAACAAAAACTTTAGCACACTTGGTTCAGCATACTTGCTACTTCAGTCCCGTCTACTAGAATGCTGAAGTTTTGCGTGATTGCTTTTGCTACTTCAGTCCCGTATGCTGAAGTTACGCGAAAAAGTGAATACGCTTGTAATTTTTTTGCAAAGCGGGCACAAGTTAAAACGTGACCCAAAAAGCGGGTATAGATGCAAATCCCCCTTTCGAGGCTAGTTGAAAGGCTCTCTTATTTAGTCATTCTTTATTCATTTCCTCTGGTNAATTTGGATTTTTCATTCATATAACTATTTGAAACCTTATTACGAAAATATTCATGTTTCGTATTTACCCGACCTATACACATTTTTTTTTATAAAATAGATACAATCCACCTTAAAAGGCTCCCTCCAAGTTGCTAACCTTTTTTCCACTTTCTCAATCACACCATTCCACACCTCCACTGACTTATGTTTTGCTCCCAAGGGTAGTCCGAGGTAGGTAGTAGGAAATGAGCCAATGTCACAACTCATTATACCAGCCAGCTCGTCTAAGTTAGGTACCGCATTGACAGGATATATCATGCTTTTCAACACGTTTATGTGTAGACCTGAAATAGATTCAAAAATAAGGAGGGTTAGATTGAGGTATTGCAACTGCAGTTTTCCAGCCCCACAGAAGATTAGTGTATCATCTGCGTTTAACAGATGGGAGATTGAGATTGAATTCCCTGAGTTGCTGCTTATCTTGAACCCTTCAATCCATTCTAATTGCCTTGTTTTATCAAACATTTTGCTCAAACCTTCCATTGCTATGATGAAAAGAAAAGGCGAGAGAGGGTCTCCCTGCCTAATCCCTTTCTGAGGGAAGAAAAAGCCAACTGGAGATCTGTTGATGAGGACTGAGTATTTGACAGTGGTTAGACTGAACTTGATCGACCTTATCCATCTTTCACCAAATCCCATTCCCCTTAGTGTT